TCAACACTGGATTTGTTGCTAAGAATGAGCTTTGAAAGATCTCAAAACCATCGCAACTGATTGTGCTCAGTTTAAAAACAGATTGTTTCCTTCGAGAAGGAGTGTTCACAAAAAGTTCTGAAAAGGTCACCTTTGAAATACAAGTTGACAAGAGGTGCAGGCTGCTTGGATCCGACTAGTGCATTGTTTCCAAGTGTTCATGAAAAACAGTTATGCATTGCACTGGAGGTGCCAAGAAAGCACCAGCAGCTGACTGGCTTGGCAGCAGAGCAGCAAACCCACCATTCCTATGTAGAGGTATGCCCACCGAGCTCTGTACAGGCAGTTGAAGGACTTTGACAGAAAAGAGCAAAGGCCTCTGTTCACTGGACCACAGTTATTTTTTGTTTGTCCAGTTAGTTCTGATTGTCTCACAGCAGTGCAGCTGTGGAATGGGGATTCTCTGCAAACAAGGGGTGTCTTGTCCTCAAGGAAGAGTCACTGATAGCGCAAAGAGTGCTCTATGATGGAGTCTCAGCAATGGGAGGGGTGGCCAAAGTTTATCTTACAAGCAGGATGATACAAATGGTTTGTGGTGCCAATGCCCAATGGAAGGAGGAGATACAAAGAGGCAAGGAAGATTGGATGCATCAAAGGCTGAAAGGAAGAGAGTGGCCACTCTCGTCCAAGAGCTTCGAGAAAAGAAGCAAAGGATCATCTTGATCTTAACTTGCCTTGAAGAGGCAGTTAACACCCTGAAACAATAGGCCCTGGACAATGTTTTATTCTAAACTACTTCAGGAGTGAGGTAGTTGCTTTATTTAACTTGAATAAAATATTTTACATTGCAAATAATCTATCTGTGCAATATATTTATTTTGATGGCAGTAGTCGGAAAATTTTTTGCGGGTTGTGAGTCGGGGAATTTAATTTAAATAGTCTGGGAAAAAACTGGAAAAGTCAGGGAACTTGGAAAAGAACAATTTGGTAGACACCCCAGGTACTGCCCAGCTCTGGGATCAACATTGAGCTGCAAGGCACTCCTCTCAACGATGAAGGCAGTAAAATTAAGTGTGCTGCCTTGATGGACAAACACCTATTTCAGAGAACTGCTCAGGACTGCAACGACATCATTCAAGCCAAACACCATAAGCGGTTTCGTGAGAGTCCGGAAGCAAGAGCGCAAGATTAGCGGCTAAATTCTTCTCAGAAGAACGAGCAATAATGCGCTGCACAGCCAGCGACACGTGGGCCACCACACCAAGCACCTCGATTTCACAGCCTGGAGGCTGAGTCTGCAGAAAGGCCAGCACAAATGTTGCCATCTCCCCAGAGCTGCACAAAGGTGGTGCATGCTCAGAGGCACTCTATCTCGGGCCCAGTGCCCGCCGGAAGATGTCGCACACACATTCAGGAGCGCACAGCTTCTCATTGGCGTTATGCCTAGAGATATATGGTTACGAAGGTTCGAAACAAGCTAATCATCACTGTTTTCTATAAGTTGTTTCTGGTGTAAAATGTCAAGACAGGCACAGCCAAATAAACAAATATTAAAGTGGTAACAGAGTCACATTTTCAAAAGATAAAATTCGTTGAAAACTGCACTTATTGGTAAGACGGGTGGCACGGATCTCGTGCTTTAACAGAGTCTCAATAATCAGCTTGGCTCAGGCCGATCTCTCTCAGGCAGCAGTTTGGGCGTTATGAGGACATAGCCGAGGCACGATGCTGACTAACTCCTCTCCACTGCAAAACCAAAACTTATAAGCGCGTGTTGCGCTTTAGCTGAGCCCCGAGTAAATCTGTAGCGCGTTCGATCTTGAGGACGGAATAGATGGTGCGACCGACCCCGAGCTTAGGTGAAAACGTTCTGTTTATTCTCTCGTGCCACCGGGCTCGTATCGACGAGTAACGTCGTCGTCTTTTATCTGCTGCTTGGTAGGCCGGTGGACCGCCACAGAGCTCCCCCCCTAGAGCCGTCGCCTGCAGCTATGCAGCCTGTAGGGGACGGAGCGATTGAGTGGTTGCGGCAGCAGCAGGTGAGTTGGGCTGTTGCCGTTGGCTAGTGATACGAGCCGGACGACGTGGCAGAGAGTGGTGCAGAAGACAGCCTGCGCAAACCACGCAGGGACGCTGAAGTCAGGCTTATTGGAGCAATGCGGCAGCAGAGAAAGGGCACAGCGATGCGTTCGAGAGGGCAATGATCCTGATGGGTGCAGAGGAGGCCAAACCTGAGTCTGCATTCAGGTACCTAATGATGAACTACGACAGATACCTCCCCGCTCAATCTCGCTGCGATGATGCTCAAGTGCTCGAGAAGTACAGAGAGGCTTGTAAAGTGTTCAGGACCAGCATGGACATGACGAGCCCCGATGACCTAATCGGTATTCTCGAGGGTTCAGTAGCGACAAGGGTCGAGGTTCCACCAAGCCTAATCGGGGTCTTCAGAGAGATGCTGCTCCGCATGAAAAAACAGATGGAGGGGCGACTGGGGTTGCAGACCGAAAAGTCCGACTCAAGTCCTTGCTGACAGGCGTGAAGGCCTTTTTGAAATCAAAAGGAAAGGTGGCCCCTCCAGTGCCCCTAACCAAACGGAACAAGCTAGACATCCGTGGATGTGTTCCAGACGGGGCCACCAGCAGGGTCTCTACTGAGGTAGGTGCCTACCTTTTCACCACCTCCATAATGCAGTTGAGAGCCAGAAGAGACACTCAGATAGAGGCCCTCCTCCGAGACTTCAGTGCGCATTTCACCACTCTTGCGACCGCACCGGACACCCCTGAGGCAGTGCAAACGCATGCCAAGCTCATGCTCGGCTATGCAGCATGCTGGGCCGAGAAGGCTGAACTTGTCGCAGCATTGTCAGGAGGCACCACGGGCTTCTTCCAGCAGGGCTCCGGAATTGACGTGGTGTTTTCATCGTACTTCTGGCTATACAAACTGAACTGTCGCAGCTACGCTGCATTCACAGAACTAAACGGATTGCTGGTGGGCATCTCACAGCACCCTCAAGGGAAAGCCAAAACACAGAAAATGCTGAGCGCTATGGGCACACCATTAGCAACCAACCTCATAAGGATGATGTCGAAGAGCACGGACATACATCTCCCGCCGTTTGTCCTGAACCCTTCAAGGTTGTACGACCTCGTCACAACCTTCGGAGCCTTCCCACTTGACGACGTCAAGTGTGAAGGGCTCGAAGGGTTTAGTTGTTCCCCTCGGTATGTGTTGAACTTGCGCCGAGACGGGGGAGAAGGCCTGACCCTGATTGGGGTCTCCTGGAACCTCTGGTACAATAGATGGTGCGACAGACTCCGAGCTTAGGTGAAAACGTTCTGTTTATTCTCTCGTGCCACCGGGCTCGTATCGACGAGTAACGTCGTCGTCTTTTATCTGCTGCTTGGTAGGCCGGTGGACCGCCACACCCTGTTCGAGAGGGCAATGATCCTGATGGGTGCAGAGGAGGCCAAACCTGAGTCTGCATTCAGGTACCTAATGACGAACTACGACAGATACCTCCCCGCTCAATCTCGCTGCGATGATGCTGAAGTGCTCGAGAACGTGGAGATCGTCACATCCCAAAGTGCCACGCTTGTTGGCCTGGACAACTATGTGAGAGCCTACGACTGAGAGAGCTACCAAGCACGAGCACACAGGATGCCAGTGGCGCTTCCTAGATTCGCGGACAGAGCCGCACTGGATAACTGGTTCAGTGCAACCTTTCCAGATGCAAACAACCGTACCTACTCTGCCTCTTACTTCGAGGGCCTGCCCGATGTGGACACATATCTACTGAAAATTGGGAAGCAAACCACTCGTGCGGGAAAAGATGCATGGGTTAGCCGATATCTCTTTGATGGTCTCCGCAAAGCCCCACCCCTAAAGGAGCAGGCCTGGTTAATGAATAGACGTAATCCGAACACGCAACAGATCAGAAGGTTGCGTGTTCGGATCACGTCCGGGTCACCATTTTGTAGCGCGTTCGATCTTAAGGACAGAATAGATGGTGCGACCGACTCCGAGCTTAGGTGAAAACGTTCTGTTTATTCTCTCGTGCCACCGGGCTCGTATCGACGAGTAACGTCGTCGTCTTTTATCTGCTGCTTGGTAGGCCGGTGGACCGCCACAAATCCTCCCCTCGGAAAAGAATGGAATCGCCTGAAACGCGCGTAGTGACCCCCCCAGCCACCTCCTTGGCCACGCGCTTTCAGTGGGTCTTTCATATTGCAGGAGACTGCGTTCACAGTGGTCTGTGCAACTTTTTTTTATTTTTTTTTTATTGTATTTGCAGTTTTTTAGAGGCCACAAAAATGGGGTCCACATTCTTTTCTATTTTTAGTATTAAAATTTGGCTTAGATGACCCATGACTTTGAATATATTTGGTACATATAGTTTGAACGCCACGTGATCATAAAAATTAGCGTGAGCGTGACTGAAACCAGCCAATTCTCGACCAGCTGTTCTCAAGCGGGAAAAAAAAAAAAAAAATTTTGAGCCGTAAATTGTTTTTTGGGTAGTTGGGCCGTTATAGATCATGTTAAAATAAAAACCTTAGCAAGCATAAATACAGGTAGAATTAGGAGAGCGTGTTGGTTAAACATCTTGATATGCGAATGCAATGGTGTTTAGGGGAGCATAAATACCCCGTCAGCGCCCCTTTAAGAGGTGCTTCTGCACTGTTCCATCGAAATAGTGCCGAGTAAGAGAGGGTTTTTGGCCATATATACGATACTGCAAACAACAATGTATTCAAGAGTGCAAATTTGACAAAAATGTTGCAAAACATTTTTTGTGAATCAAAGTTTACGACTGGGAGTAAACAGGTTGGTGCGCTGCGTGCATGAGTGACACTTTTGGATGGCAAGCTTTTGCAGTAATTTTCTATTAGCGTGGAATTGGTGGAGGTGAAGTCAACATGAAATATAAAGCCACTTGCAGTATGTGTTTCTTAAAATCAAAAAGTTTGAGAACTCCCGTAAACTATTAAGTACCGTTTGAGAAACACAGATGACGAATCGAATGAAAGGACTTTCCTCCTTTTATTCAGAAAGATTGAAAAAAAAATGGAAAATAAAGAAGTACTGAGACACAACTCGCAAAGTCCCGCCTATGTGACTAGGCGTCAGTAGGAGGTTGGGCGTCGCCGGACGGCTTAAGGCCTCGAATCGACAGGTCGTACACGACTTCCTCGACCTTCTTGAGGTCGTACTTGAGGGCATCAAACTTCTTCCTCAGCATGTCGTTCTTCAGGTTAAGCAGGCGGAAGCCCAGGTTCATCTCGGTCACAAAGCGAGAGATCTTCAGCGGCCAGCTATAGTCTCCCGAGGTGACACTATTCACCGCAAAGCGACTCTGAAAGACCACCAGAGGGAGAGTTAAAGACACGAGGACAAGATGCGGAAAAAGGAGAAAAAATTAAGAGAACCCCGAACGACGTCGAGCAATCCCTCCACCACAAAGAGCTGTGACAACCTTCTGATGCCGCAAACATATTCTCTAACATGAAGAATCATTTACGTATTAGGGAAACATTAACCAGTTAAGTTTTTGGTAAAGCTAAACAGAATGCAGGAAGAACCAGCGTGGAGAAACACACCCTCGGAGGTTTCCGAAAATCATGTCGGCCGTTTTAACCCCTATTACTATACTGTCAAAAAAATATTGCAGGTTTTGTATTCTTAAATATTTACTTTCCCATACTTTTTTTTGCTATTACTGCCTCCTTTCTGTAATGCCTTCAGGCCCTGAGGAAATATATGAATGAATAAATAGGTGCCATAGGCCTCATAAAAAAAAAAAGCCAATTTAGAAATAAATGCAATTTCTGCGCACTGACTTGCATCCCCAAGCTCTAAATGTCGATGGAGCACCCAAACTGCATGCAGAGGTTATCCTCGGATAGCTGAAGGTACTCACAAGTTCGTCTGCAAGCATCAGTAGTCCAGACAGATAATCATCCAGGTCAATATGGAATCCTTTGTTGTGATCTACGCATACTGTAACAAAATAACTAGACTTAAAACCAGCTGGCATAGTTCACAACAAGATATACGAAGAAAAAAAAACAGACAACTAACTCGTGAAGAGCACCTTTTACGAGCAACACGCCTTCTGTCAAGCACGACGGAATGCAGATGAAACGCTCAACCAGTTTCAGGTTAGTCAACAGACAGATCGCTGTGACACTTAAATTTTTGTTTATGGATGTATCTCCCAAGTCCAAGAACAACCTTTTGGGCAAGGAAGGTAGTGGTTCTCACACCTCCTTTACACTTTCGAAGAGGTATCTTTTGAGTCTGTTAAAGGGGTTCCCCACTGATTTGAGGACCGCTCTGGAGATATGCCGCTGACGAGCATTGAATATAGAAGAGGCAAACAAGATGCTTGGCAAGGGCTTCCACGTGCGATTTAGAGGGTGAAACAGTACCGCACAATAAGCGAGAGGTCCTCTTCAGCACACACTTGCACGCCCCACACCGGGCATGCCTGAATACAGTTGAAGCTCGTTATTTCGACTCCCGTTATTTCTATCATCGCGTTAATTCAATCCTTCCGTTTAGCACCGTCAGAAATGTACAGGCTTCAATAGACAGAAAACCCCGGTATTTCGATCTGATAAATATCCCCAACCCGATAATTCGTCCCGGGAGCCAGCATCTTTATAACCGGGAAATATTTTTTAAGCTAACACTATAAGTTTTAAGGTTAAAACGGCGCCTCAGAACACAACACGCGTCCCTACCCATATTGGCAAACAGCCGTTGCAGCGAGCCCGCACCTGATTGCGACACCTCCACAGACGCGCGATGCCGTCGGCGCCCCCGGCGCCTCGAGCCGGGGCGCGCTCCACAAAAGATCGCCCGTGCAGACAGGCGCCCTTTCGCTGGCGCCTCGCGTCGGAGAAAGGGCCGATTTGGTTAGTCGAGATAAGACCCAGTCAGAGCGCACCGGCCCGATCACGTGGGGAGGCGCACGGAAGGAGACGGGAGCAACAAGAAGGAAATGAGTGAGCGATGAAGTGAGAAAGAACGTCGGGAGGATGGAGAAGGAGACTGGAGAAAAATAAGCGAGCGATGAAGAGGGACCGTGCTGTCACGCAGTTTCTGTTCTTTGGAGTACGCGGCGTTTAACGCTCATACCAGAAAATGTCAAAAGAAAAGCGAGGAAAGTACTCTTCGAATGATTTAAAAACAAAAGTTCACATACTCAACGAAGTTAGGGAGGGAAAATTGTCCAGAAAAGAAATTGCCGAAAAGTATGACCTCAAGAAAAGCACGCTTGCTACCTACATTAGGAATGAAGCAGCAATTGTGAAAGCTTTTGAAGAAGAGCAATTTGTGAATTCAAGAAAACGCCTTCGCAGTGCAGCCCATCCAGAACTCGAAGAAGCCGTTTACAAATGGGTGACAGAAGTAAGAACGCACAACCTTCCGATGACTGGAGACATGATTCGCGCAAAGGCTCAACAGTTCAGCGAACGTTTGGGCATCGAGGGATTCCGTGCTTCCAAGGGATGGCTCGCAAGATTCAGGGAGAGGCACTCTCTTATTTTTAAGCACGTGTGTGGTGAAAGAGCCGATGTGGATGAAGATTTGTGTGAAAACTGGAAGACGTCGGAGTTCGCACGTATTCTCGCGGAGTATGCGCCCGAGGACATATTCAATTGCGACGAAACGGCACTGTTTTTCAAAGCTCTCCCCGACAAAACGATAACGTTCAAAGGGGATCCTTGCACTGGGGGAAAATGCAGTAAAGAGCGGGTGACCGTGCTCGTGGCAGCCAACATGACAGGCATAAGACGTCTGCCTCTTTTGGTGATCGAAAATCCAAAACGCCACGACGCTTTCGGAACATCCCGCGGCTTCCAACGGACTACCGTTTCAACAAAAAAGCGTGGATGACACGTGAGATCTTTCAAGATTGGCTTCAAAAATTTAACCGCCAGTTCGCGTCTAAGGGGCGCAAGGTCGTGTTAGTAGCGGACAACTGTAGTGCGCATACAAAAATGCCGGAGCTGTCTATGATCCGCCTGATTTTCCTTCCACCCGCAACCACCTCACTCTTGCAACCAATGGATCAAGGAATAATCAAACACCTGAAAGGCTTGTACCGCAAGCATCTCATGGTAAGAATATTGCTTTGTCTGGACCAGGGTAAGAGCTATGAAGTCACTCTGTTGGCGGCGATTCATATGCTTGTTAAAGCTTGGACGGACATGCCAAGCCAGGTCATCGCGAACAGCTTTTGTCACTGTTGTTTCTCGTGTGATGGAAATACCGCGAGTTCGACGACTGCATCGGCTACTACGTCTACATCGGCAACTGCATCGGCTACTACATCGGCAACTGCATCGGCTACAACATCGGCAACCACAATTGAAGATGAAAACTTTGACGAAGAGTGCAGTGCTCTAATGTCCGCTCTACCCGAAAACGTTAGTTTCGATGATTACGTTGCGATAGATGATGGAGTGCTTGTGTGCAGTCAATTAACTGACGACGAAATCATCGCATCGGTTCAGCGTCCCGAGGGTCAGGAGGACGACAGCTGCGAGAGTGACGCCGAAGAGCCGCCGCCACGCCCATCTCCTGCCGAAGCATCCGCTGCGCTCAATGTACTTGCGAACTTCGCAACGTTTGAAGACACCGACGGGACGATGTGGCCGCACATTGAGGATATGCGTAAATTTGTTTTTGCGAAGCGTCCGACGGGAATGCGACAGCAGAAAATATCGGCGTTTTTTTTCGAAATAAAACTCCGTCGTCACGGTTGGCTTTTCGCCGCTTCTCGTGACGTACGTCGTTACTCGTTTTTGATTGATGTTCAATAATTTGACTCTTCGATAATTTGATCTATTTTCGAGGAACCGTCAGAGTCGAATTAACGAGCTTCGACTGTATTGGCAAGAGTATGTGCAACCTTCCAACATGAAAATGTGTTGCTTGTAAAGTAGACTCCCCTACTGTACAGGCAACTTGAGTTGGATTCCTGTTTATGTTATGGCCGAACTGCTTAGATAATCAATATGTATTCTTCCGTTTAAAGGGCACCAAAACTGAAACTATTCAGACCCACATAAGTCAGATATTGTTGTGGCAGCCTCATCACCATGAGCAAAGCGTCACTAGCAAGCAGTCCCGTTAGCCATGCCAATCCAATACACTCAGAGTGCCATGTTTCTTGGCTTGTGAGTGAGTATTGATGACTGCCTGTGTCTTACAGTCATGATGAAAGCACTTAACAAGATTACTTAATGACTTGATCGTACTAAAATCTCAAAGAAGAATACATACATTGGAAACTCGTTACAACAAACACCGATAGAGCAAATTATTGCATAGAATAAAGTAGATACGAAGTTTGGTTGTCCAGGTCTTTTTTCGATGGGAGCTCCTCTAATAACAAAACCGAAACTGGAAAATTTGGTGCGGCATCGGCTATAACGAATCAATTTCTATTCCTCACGCGGCTCAAAACGTGTAATCTAGCAGAAAAAAGTTGATAAATAAAAAAAAAATATGCAACAAAATGAATATTGCGGTGCACTTACGTAGCCGAGTCGGCAGCACTGGCCTCACACACAGGTGGCTCATGTTTGATTCCCAGCACTGCATCTGCTTTTACCTTTCTATATGCAAGTCAAAGATTCGAAAAGGTTGGAGAGCCATTCATTTTGTTCCGGTCCAGAATGTATAGTTTGAGAAAGATAGAGGCAGAACATTCTAGGCTCCCAGGGAAGGCTCAAAAGAAGCCGCACCGCGCAGTACGGAGTCAGTCTTTTGCCTGTGCTCGGTCCTGCAACTATGCCGCCATCGACACCTGTTATCATCCGCTCAATCTGATGTTGTTTGAGCACAGGTTCGCCCTATTAATGTTTAGTTTGCTGGAGTGTTTCATCGCCTCATCAGTTGTCACTCGTGACAATGTATAAAATGTTTGGTTTTCGGTGTTTCTATCGCTTGGTGCCCGCATTATGGGTGGTGGCTGGTGCCGTCTATGAACTCGACACGTAACCGCAGAAAGAATGTGACGGTGGTTTCACCTGTCGGCGGTAGCAAACACCAAGGCATCTGCTTGTCCCCCAAAAGACCGCAGCCACCACTATGCCAAGCCCGTGAATATGGCGACGAAACGTCAAGCTGCCTCCCTCGCGACAGAAGGTAATATTTAAAAAGTAGCAAACGGCGGTCGCAAAAACAAAAAAAAATTGCCGCAGATTTCGACCTTGCTCCAAGCACATTATCTGCAATCATCAGCCCAAGGAAGAAGACTGAAGACATGCACACTAACAATGCTGTCAAAAGTGGCAGAAAGGATGTGCCTTGTTTGTACCCCGACGTGGAAGAGGCTTTTTCCGGACGCAAGCTATTTTGGCTTTGCACTTCGAAGACCTTGCATTGGAGGCTCTGACTCCAATGCAAGGCTCTTACTCCGCGCTCGTTCTACGCAGCCAAAATATCTTGCGCTCGTTGGAAGCGGCGTTTTTTTTAGTTTCTGTCCATAGAAGCTTGCTATGTTGGAGGCTATCTGTGGCTTCGGAGAACCCCATACATACAAGAAAAAATGTGGGAGCTATGATACCAGCAATCCCATTGGTTGCGACCCGAAACAGGGCACACGATTGGCTGCCTTTGGTGACGTAGCTCCTTGTTCGCATCATGCGCGCTTTTGGCAGCTTCTTTCTCTTCTGATCGTATCGCCAGTTCGCTGCTGTTTGTCTAGATTCGTTTTCCCTCTTTATTCCTAGTAGTTTTTCTGCCGAGGAATGCCTGCTTCCAAAGTTAGCACTTGCAGTAGCTTTGGCTAGCGTTCTCGATGGCGAAAACCAAGGGGTCGATCAGTAGGACTCCTCACAAGAGACAGGGACCCGTCTCTGCCAGCACCATCGTCGCCGTCTCCGCCGACGTCGTCACGATTTTCAAGTTCAACTGGTGCTTGGCGGACATCGGAGCCTATAGCTTCATCTCCAGATGCTGATCGGCTTTCATGTCTCCTC